GACTGACCAACCATAGCCATAATTACGTTTTTCGCGATAAGCGGCAAGACGCGCCCCCAGGGCTGACATCACACGGCCAGGCTGTCGCCTTGTAGAGTCGAGTCAAAGGCTTGCCCCGCGGTCCACGCCACCGTGCTCCTCTCTCGCGCCGTATCTGTACCACTCCCGAGGGTGTTACATCATACGGGAACGCCCGGAACGCCTTCGGGTCAGCGCCTCCCGACTCTGACCCCTTTAGCCTTCGAGGGGCCTCGCCGCGCGGAGATGAGAGCGCGGGAGCTCAACACGCGTGGGCCGGGCAACCGGGCATGTAAGTTCGGCGATTTGGGCAGAAAAAGAGATGGATGCAAATAAGAAAACGACAGCGGCTTGCAAAACTTTATCGAAGACACTTAGGACCCGCGTGGCACAGCACAACCCGAAGGCCAAAAGCATGCACAGTTATAAAAACTTCCAGACATAGACATAGTGTTTAATTGAACGACTTTTTGTTACAAAGAGGACCAACAATCGTTTAGTAAGATGCTTATCCCAAAATCGCGGATATTACTGTGAACAAGTCACAAGTCTTTACATTATACACGCTAAATGTGACAGCTTGTTTCCAAGCAGTTACTTTTAGCGTGTATGGACATGAGGTTCACGAGGTTCACGACGTGTGAAGAGTGGGTGTTCGTACGATTTCACGTGCGATAACGTGTGCTCATGGCTTCACTTTTATCGTCTGCACTACTTTGTTCAGCCTGACTTGCGCTAACCGCTGCTCCCTTGTTGACGTGCAGGCCCGACGAGCCCCGGAGGGTGGCGGTGATCGGCGCGGGCGCGGCGGGGCTGTGCGCCGCGCGCCACCTCGCGGCCGCGGGCGTGCCCTGCACCGTGTTCGAGCAGACGGGCAACGTGGGCGGCACCTGGGTCTACAACGAGCGAGTCGGCATGGACCAGTTCGGGCTGCCCGTGCACTCCAGCATGTACCGCAACCTGAGGTGAGACGACATCGGACACATCCGAGCCGATACGTGTCTGCGTGAAAAAAACATCGTATTCCTTTTGACTATACCCGAATTCCGTAGTACTCCCCATACCATGCAAAAGCCTGATCTTGGCCCAAGAAATGCTCTCATATTACTAAAGAACGTTGCGCTTATCACGATCTCATTTTGTCGAATTGGTGTTGTATTAAAGCTCACTCATGTTGTTGACAATACAAGCGCATTTCTTGTGCCAAGAATTTTTTTTTTTCGGGGGTGTGCCAACTGTTTTGATGCGCACCATCGGCCATAGCATGCTGACGGCCCCGATGTGTTTGTGACGCGAAAATCGAAGCCCCCCCCCCCTCCACCCCCGCTACGCGTTGCGTAGCCCGCAGTTACGCTATCGTCACAATGCACTACCGGGCTGTCTCTCGTGTTTTCGTAACGCTTTGTTTTTCCCGGCCACCTCAGGATAAACATCCCGAAGCACGTCATGTGCTACCCCGACTTCCCGTTCAAGAAGGGCGGCCGCTCGTACGCCACCCACCAGGAGATCCGAGACTACCTCAAGAACTACGCGCAGCACTTTGACCTGCACCAGTACGTCCAGGTAAGCAGCGTCGTGCCCGCGTGTGGTTTGCAGTTTGGATTTATTGGGGCGGCGGAAGACTTTATTCAGTCCTTCACTTATCGCCGAGGGGTCAGCGGGGGCGGGAGATGAAGGCGGGGAGGAGGAGGAGGAGGAGGGGGAGGGGGTCGCTCTCCCGTCACAGCTGTACCCGAGGGACGCGCGTGTCCAGCACCGCCTGCCGGGTAGGCCGGGTAGGCAAGCCCGCTACGCGCGCCTGCGCCGCACTGTGGCCTACTTACTCGTCGGCTTCCTCTAGAGGAACGAGTCACGTTGTTGGCATATATATGCGATCATTTTGGTTTCAGCACTACACGCACGTGAAGCGAGTGACGCCCCAGGGCAGCCGGTGGAGCGTGCTCGTGGAGGACCTCAAGACGGGGCGCGTCTCGGAAGAGGTGTTCGACGCCGTCCTCGTGTGCAACGGGTGAGCTGCCTGGCCATTCGTCGTGACCAAAGGGGGAAGGGGCTGTGGAACGAATTGGCATTTTACGCCAGGGCGTCACCTAACTGAACTGGTCCTTCCCTGCAGACACTACTCGGTGCCGTACACGCCCACCGTGCCCAACATGAGCCTCTACGGCGGCGTGAGCCTGCACAGCCACGACTACCGGGAGCCCGAGCCCTTCGCCGGCGCGGACGTGGTGGTGCTGGGTGCGAAGGCCTCTGGGCTCGACATAGCCCTGGAGGTGGCCAAAGTGGCCAACAACGTGTTCCTGAGTCACAACGGGGACCTCGTTCCCTCCAGGCTGCCGGACAACGTGCAGCAGGTGAAAGGCATCAAGGAGGCTACCGAGGACGGCTTCGTCCTCCTGGACGGCACCACAGTCCGCGCCAGCGCCGTCATCTTTGCCACCGGTGAGCAGCCAGGCCAATAATCAGAGAGGCGTCAAAGTGCGTTGTGCGGCTGCAGCTGCACGAAAAAAAAAAAAAAAGTTAGTTGCCGCAACGAACCGGTATTATGTTTCCCTTGCAGGCTACGAGTTCTCCTTTCCGTTCCTCGCGCCCGAGTGCGGCGTGCGCGTGGTCCACAACCGGGTCGTGCCCCTCTACAAGCACATGCTGCACCGGGAGCGCCCCACCATGGCCCTCATCGGCATCCCCTACTGCGTGGTGCCCTTCGTCATCTTCCACTACCAGGTCCGCCTCCGGAGGGTCTCATCCCCACGACGCCACACGGAAAAAAAAGAATTAGCTAAATTAGCTAATGCATTTGCTAATATGGCCTTAGATTAGAATATTAGCTCTCCTAGCTAGTTCTTATCTAGGAGAGCTAATAAATTAGCCATGACAGTTGTCTACAAAATAAAGCAACTAGCTGTGAAAGCTAATATTTTAGCTTTCTTAGCTGGGAATTAGCTAGGAAAGCTAATATTCTAATCTAAGGCCATATTAGCGAATGCATTAGCTAATTTAGCTAATTCTTTCTTTTTTTTTCGTGCATCCCGACCAGTCTTCGCGTGGTGCTCACGAGTGCTTTTGTTGGCCAGATCCGCTACTTCCTGTCGCTGTTCCTGGGCCGCGTGGCGCTGCCCTCCAAGGAGCAGATGGAGCGCGAGGAGGACGCCGACATGCAGAAGCACCTGCTGCAGTTCCCCGCCCGCCACACGCACAAGATGGGCGACCTGCAGTGGCCCTACCTCCACGACCTGGCGGCCGCCGGCGACTTCGAGGACGACATGTGGCCGGTCGTCCAGGAGGTGTACGACGCCGTCGAGGAGGACCGCAAGAACCTGCTGACGGTGTACCGCAGCATCGAGTACAACGTGACGGGCAGGGAGACTTACGAGCGCGTCCTGCCGCCGTCCGCGGGGCTGTTACCGAAGCAGGCGCAGCAGCAGCAGCAGCATCTGCAGCAGCACCTGCAGCAGCGCCTGCAGCAGCAGCCCGTCCAGATCAAGTAGCGGCGGCCACGCCACGCTCGCCTGCGGGCCACCCACTTGACATAAACATTGCAATGACGTTTCCCGGCGAACGCAACAGAGACGATATGACATGCGAGTCCGGATGCAGCAGCACGCCAGCCGCCGCCTCTGGCCAAAGTGCTCAATTAGTGCAGCGGATCGAAAAGCAGATCGAAAGGCGCGGAGCGAGGCGAAGGTGACGGTGACGGCGCGGCGGTCCTGCAGTGGCAGAGAGCTGCGGGGAGGGCGTGACAGCCCCGTCGGAGCGAACGGGCATGCTGGCCTGCTTGTTCAACGATAGGCAACCCGCCCCCACGCTTGCACGCGGGCTAGCATGCCCATTCGCTCCGGTGCGGCTGGGGCGCCCACCGCACTTATCCAAGTATGAGCAACAACACGCGACAACACAACATCTGCGTTTACGTCTTAAAGGGTAGGAAAGGAGGTGCGAAATTTTGACAAGTCCCACGGTGCGGCGCAAAGCGCTGTCGCGTTACGTTCCTTAATAACATAGGTCTTATGCATCAGTCCGTACCCCTCGTTTTCTTGGCGGCCACCTTGGTTGCCCAAGTCGTGACAGGGCCCTAATGGGAGAAATCTGTTTCCTATTGTTCTATTTTAAGACCGTCTTTGCCAGAAGGAAGCGTGGCGCCCCCCCCCCTCCTTCCCCTTCTCCTGTTTCAATGAAAGAGTTGGCCCAGACCGCTGAAATTAAATGTCTTTGAGACCTGAATATAACTATTTAGCACGCGTCAAAAACATTTCAAGATATTCCCTATTTTTTCAAAGATACAAAACAGCTTTCCCCCGTAAGGCCCTGTACAATCTGAGTAACCAAGTGAGGGCTACAGGCTGCAGCTTAAGACCTACATAGCAAGAATATACCGGTGACAATGAGAGAGGTGTGATTTATTTCCTTGTACATAATGAAAACTTCGTGAGAATATGGCAGCAAATGGCTTAAAGTGTGCTCGTCGAACAATGCACTTTTGTGATATTTTAGAGAGGTCCAACCCTGCAATCATATACTTCTGTTAAGATTGTGACTTTTGTCAACTTATCTAAGATAAGTAATGGAGAAAAATAAAGTGTATTTTGTAATAAATCTGCATTACACATTACTCAGCCCTCATTTCGACATGCCGTACAGCCTTAAACTGGCTTAAACCCTACTCAAATGTAGGATTACATCAATATCCAGCGAGGGAAACGTCTTCCCTCTTTGGACAACTTATCCGCTCACTTTCAAAATTGCCGCTCTATTGTTCTTGTCCACGACTACAAGAATCGACGCACCCTGATCGAAAGGAGAAGAACAAAAATAGGCAGAACAAGCAAACGCAAACCGAGAAACCGAAAGACGTCTTGGACTTGATCCAAATCCAAATTTGTTATTTTTCCAAATCATTCTTTGCGACTGTTTAGTAGAATTCACAGAAACTTATTCAACTGACAGGTTTTCACAGTATATTGGTCGTCATCCACAACTTAATCACTATGATCTCATTCTGTGTACAGTCCAATGTAAGTGATCTGTAAGAAAAGCTTTCTGCATGTCTGGTCCTTTAAAGATTAAAATGTAAACGTAGGCTGTCATGTATGTAATTTCCTCAGTCGCTCTTCCCGTTTCCAATCCGGTAATGAATAACTAACCCCTTTATTCCATACTCCTCTTGTTACTTTCTTAACCAAATAATTGTAAATGTTATTTCTATCCTGTTTGTTTTGATTGTTGGTTACACAACTGCACATTCCCATTATGAATAATTCGTCTGGAATTGATTGTTGTCTTAGAATATTTGATTTCCAATCTTTTAGGTTTTATCCATCTTTATTGTTTCGGTGCTATGGATTCACTGTATTCATGCATTTTACGTTCCTGGAGTGGCACCAGTAGAATTCAAGCGCGGAGATCGCATAGAAGTGAAAGCTGTGAAAATGACAAGTGTACACACTCAACTTCCTTATGATTATTACTCACTTCCTTTTTGTGAACCAAAGAATGGTTCTTTACACTACAAATCTGAGAATTTAGGTAACTGTTTGTTAACATTTTCTTATTAGATGTCATTTATTTGACTAGTCATTTCTCAGTTCTATTTGTCTTTTTGTGCTTCATTTAGGTGAAGTTCTTCGAGGAGACAGGATTGTGAATACTCCATATGAAATTCAAATGGCGGAAAATGTAACTTGTCGACTATTGTGTAATTCCCATGATCGTCCAATCAATTGGCGAGAAAGTGAATCACAAACAGTTATAAGCCGTATAGAACATGAGTATAATGTTCACTTGTAAGTTGTTATGATTTTTTTCACTTTAATATTTTTAACATTTGTTTTGTTGACTAGAGTGTTTTCCATATTTTTTAGGATTGTTGACAACCTTCCATGTGCAACAAAAATTGTGGATGTGGTCACCAAAGATGTTCAATATCGTCCAGGATATCAACTTGGCTACCAGGCTGACAATGAAGGTTCAAATAGACCAGCCTACATTAACAATCACCTCAAACTTATTCTGTATCACCACTCACACACTGGGTAAGATTAGATTTGTAACATGTTTTTGTGTCTGCAATTCGCCTCGAAATATGAATTTTGATTTATGGTAGAAAATGTATTTCTTGCAGAGACACATATAGGGTTGTTGGATTCGAAGTTGAACCTCAAAGTGTGAGCTATGATGATATTAGATTTAAAGGAGACTCCTGCCAATTCCCAGAGTCAGCAGGAGGCCAAATGGTAAATCGTAATGGTGGTACAACCTTGTATTTCACTTACTCTGTCGAATGGCGCCCATCTGAAGTTTCATGGGCCTCTCGCTGGGACATTTACCTTGGTATGAGTGACGTTAAAATTCATTGGTTCTCCATTATCAACTCATTGATGGTTGTATTTTTCTTATTTGGTAAGCACTATTATTTTTTAATTCCTCCATATTGCTGTCTTACTGATCTTCTTGGCTAATCATTGAATTTTCTGGGTTAAAGGAATTATGGCTATGATTATGGTGAGAGCTCTTCGACGGGACATCGCGAAGTACAATACTTATGAAGCCCTGGAGGAGGCTATTGAGGAAACAGGGTGGAAGCTTGTTCATGGAGATGTGTTCAGACCACCAAGGCATCCACGTCTCTTTGCAGCTGTAATAGGTTCTGGGATTCAGATATTTTTCATGGCTCTATATACCATAGGTTTGTAATGTTTCTTCTCTATTTTTATACCAAATCTTAGACATTCTTAAAAAGATTGTCTCATGAACATTTAATTTATTTCTTTACAGTATTTGCTACTCTTGGCATGCTTTCTCCTGCATCACGAGGAGCTCTCATGAATGCTGCAATTTCCCTGTACATCCTAAAGGGACTTATAGCAGGTTATTACTCGGCAAGAGTCTACAAGACCTTGAAGGGAAGGGAATGGAAAAGAGCTGCCTTTCTGGTAAGATAAGATTGGGTCCTAAACCTAATTGTTATTAATGAAACACTGATATTGTATTTCATTATTTCACTATAACTGTAACTAACTGCTAAAACATTATTTCATTTAAATCTTAACTTCTTTTTCTTTCCTCCAGACTGCTACTTTGTATCCAGGCATTGTGTTTGGTACTTGCTTCTTCTTGAACTTCTTTGTGTGGGGAAAGCACTCCAGCAGTGCTGTTCCATTTGGAACTATGGTTTGGCTAATGTTCCTTTGGTTTGGAATAAGTCTTCCTCTGGTCTACTGTGGTTATTACTTTGGTTACCGTAAACAACCATACCAGCACCCAGTTAGAACCAACCAGATACCACGCCAAGTACCGGACCAGTTGTGGTACATGAATCCAATTATCTGGTGAGACACAAAACTTCCTATGCATTGCTGCAGTTTTTCTCTCATATTATTTTACTTACCTTATGTTGTTCTTTGACTTTCATTTACAGCTCATTGTTGGCTGGCGTTTTGCCATTTGGTGCTGTGTTTATTGAGCTGTTTTTCATTTTCACTGCAATTTGGGAAAACCAGTTCTACTACATGTTTGGATTCCTTTTTTTGGTTTTCATAATTTTATTTGTATCAGTGTCTCAGATCTCAATTGTCATGGTTTATTTCCAACTATGTGGCGAGGTAAGTTGCTCAGAAAATACATAACTTTTAAATAAAACTACTAATTAGTCCGTAACTTTTGCTTAAATTTATGTTTACATTGACCGTATTATTTTGAAACATTTTCAAAATTAATTTTTTTGTTTTTGTGCAGGATTATCGCTGGTGGTGGAGATCTCTTGCTGTGTCCGGTGGATCAGCCATTTATGTCTTTGGCTATGCAGTATTTTATTTCTTTACAAATTTAGATATAACAGAATTCACCCCTACCCTTTTATACTTCGGTTACACTGCTCTTATGGTAATTACCTTCTGGTTTCTGACTGGAACAATTGGTTTCTTTGCGGCTTATTTCTTTATCAGAAAGATATATGGAGCCGTCAAAATTGATTAGGGAGGGTAGCACAAGAAGTAAATTGTTGTCTACTTTACTAACATACCAAATATGTTCTACATTTTGAAATAGGATGTGTGGGGTCAGCTTTTTTAAAAGGAAAAAGAAAAGAAAAAAAAAAAGCTGTGTGGTGCTTTATTTAATATGTAAATAGTGTATTTATGGAAGTATATTTATGTAGCATAGTTGAATGTAAATTTTACAGACACATGATACATCATCAGAGTTAGTCCAGAAGAACTGTTTTCTTTGCATTGGGGCCTACTATATTTTAGGCACAACAGAGAAGAGTGTGGTGTTTTAATAACAAAACTCTGCCTAACATCTCTTTGATCTCTGTGATATATAGGCATTTAGCCAACTATATTGTAAGTTTAGGGCTGAAGGGGATGATCAGAGTCATTCTCTAGGTACAGTAATTAAAGCATGGATAAAATGATTAACATCAATACTCTTGCAATGTTTGCAGGAATGAGATTTTAATAGATATTAAAATACAGAGCTAATTTAATTTAAATTGTTTTGTCTATATGTTTTATTATGTTCATTATTTTGTAGTTTTTCACTTTATTTTTAAATATCCAAGAGATGAGATCAGCATTGTTAGGTCTTTAATTATTGTTTGAACTCGGTATGACCTGAAGGTAAAAGAAGATGCACTGAGAACTTTGTTTGAAATTTGAACTTTGGCATACATGAATTGATTTTTTCTCAGCAGAAAATGTGATTTAAGAATTTAGTGAAATAGGCAGACAAAATGAGGTTGAGCCAAAACTAAAACTTGAAGTATTTTTGGTGTTTTCTGTCAGTCAAATCTTTTGTGAGCACACTTGATATCAGTAGTATGTTATATTTTCGTTGGTATCTTGTATCTTGAATTCTCCCTGTACTTTCGGACAATAATGAAATGAAATAAGCAAATTATCACATAATATTTTATTTTCAAAGAGGTCACTTATGAATGGACATTGTGCCATTGGATAAATTTAATTCTGTCCATGTGTGACATACCTTTATTAACAGAATGATCGCAACGTTCTTTCTAATAAAGTTTTGTCTATAAATTAAACTGTCTTTCACTTGCTCCTCAACCATCCTGTTAGTTACCCTTACAAAATATCCAGTCCTCGACTCCCCTAGACTAGATCAGGTACATGTCAGTCGAGTACTTGTACATTCCTACCATGGTGAATGACTGTCGGCTGCCGTCAATACCCCTTAAAGAGGAGAGAGGGACCCGAGGTGTCTCTCCAGCACGAGGGATATCGCCCGTTGCAGGTCGTGCCTGTTTGGCTCTGACTGCTCTGACACAATCGGCGAGGAGAGCAACAGCGCTTGCATCTTTACTTGATTATTCCGAGATTCCCGCCGGAGTTGTCCCCTCCACTTCCTCCACCGCTATGGGGCTGTCAAAATAAGATACGGTTTGGCCGACCGACCGACCGACCGACCGACCGTCAACCTCGGAACGACCAGGACTACTGAAATATCGTGTTCGGGGATTTTCTCGCACGCTGAGTCCAAATCTGGAAGTGCCGATGTCGTCCTGGTTCCCTTCCCTGGGACGTCATTGGGGACCTCCCGAGCACGCCGATGACACTCCCACGACAAATACGATTCGGCTCCAAACGTCGTGTACACACGGTCTGGTGCATATTTCTTGAAAGTCGCCAAATATAATTATTATTAATAGCAAATCGCCCATAATAGTTTCTTATCCTGATCATTTCACTATTGTCACTT